TCTCCTTTCTAAACTGAATAATCTTAACCTTTTTAGTCTCTCCTGATATGGCAGCTGCTCCATACTCCTTAGCATTTTGGTTGTCCTTCTCTGAGACTTCTATTTCTCCTATATCCTTTTGGAGATTCAGAGACCAGAACTGCACAATATTCAGGATGTGGGCACACCATGGATTTGTATAATGGCATGCTGGTGTTCTCAGTTTTGTTTTCTATTCCCTTCTTAATGATGCCCAACATGCTATTGGCTGCTTTGGTTGCCACTGAGCTGACTATTTGAGAGAGTTATCTACAGCAACTTCAAGGCCTCTTTCCTGAGTTGTTACAACTAGTTCAGAAGCCAGCATTATGAGCATTATGTACATGTGGTTGAAGTTATTTTCCCCCATATGCATTACCTTGAGCTTGTCAGCATTGAAGTTCATTTGCCATTTTATTGCCTGTTCTCTTTGCTTAGTGGCTTAATTCTTTCTTTAAAGCCCATTTAAACTAAAGTCCAACTTCTTATGCCAGCTCATCAGCAGAGAATTCTAGTTTGTTAAATACCTTGATGGCATCTAAGTTATATTGGTGGCAATATAGGTTAATGCGATAACTCTCTAAATATAAAAAGCATTAAAAGCAAGCCAGTTTTCCAAATTGGCTTCTATTTGGCTGTCGTCCATAATGACACAGCCATGCTAGTCCATTTTGGATTCATGCTGTTAATAATTAATGTGAGGCAGGTGCCTAAGATGTAAGCTAGCCTTACTGCCTGAAATTCTCCAAGCAACTGCCCACCAGCCCTCACTACTGATGTTTTGGCACTGTACTTGACTTTTCTGTACAAAAATATGATTTTAGCATATCGGAGTTGAAAGAGAATACGGAGCAGGAAATCAAGTTGTATTAGATTATTAAAGGAATTCTTGTACTAGAAATAGAACATGTGGACTGTTGACATGTTGAACAGCAAACTGGAGCTAGTTAGGAGAATCAGGGTAGCTTTCCTCTCTGTCCTTCTTCACCTCCTTACTTTAACTACACATCTGTTTTGCTGTCTTGCATTTTGATCTGAGACTTGTACTTTGTGTTTCCTAGTAAAAACCCAGTCACCATGCTTTTAGGGAGGCTAAATGTCCAGCCCCTAATCTTGTAATGCTCCATTGTGGCAGCAGTCTCAGACTATGGCTGCCTGTCAGTAGTTAATTGGTCTAATTTTCTTTTATGTTTGACTTGAATTTTAAATGTTTACATTTTAATATTTCTCTATAGACCTACTAGAATTGACTGATGCTTTTTCTTTTTTCTTCTTTCTCTATATCTTTTCTCCTCCTTTTACTTTTGTATGATATTGCAAAATGAAGCTAAAACCTGCATTATAATAAATCTGTTGAGTCTAAACCTGTTTTATTTAGATACTACACTAACATTTGCAGTTTAATCTAAGGAGAAAAAAAGGCTATATTTTCACCGTGAAATCTGTGGAAGATGTGTATTCCATTTCTTTAACAAAATAAGTTGATTTTATTTATGTTCTCATAACACTTTGCTTTTGATTTACTGTGGCTATGAAGTGATGCTGACAAGTGGGAAGTTTAGCCTGGTGCCTAAAACTGCATAACGCATTCAAATAAACTGGGAGATTTCTCCCAGGTTTGTTCTCCTGGTAGAACAATTTACCCAGAGCCTTGTGTAAAGACATTCAAATGCTTCATGGAGAGCTTGCAGTGTGGATCTTGTGCATCCAGGAGATGCCCATATGCACATATTTCTAGCAAGCTCTGTAGGCTCCCTTAGTCTGCCTGTCAACAGATGGCAGCAGTGCATGCGGAAGCCCTGACTGGCTGACCCAGACTGCCCGTGGTCAACCTGTGTTTTGCTGCAGCACAGTAATAAGGGGTGCAAAGGAAAATCCTGCCAAATTATTACTCATCTTCGGTACCTTGCCAAACTGGAAACAGCAGCAGCTTGGAACAGACTTGGATTGGAGTTTAATGGGATCCTACTGTTGCAGCCATTAGAGAACCCCTAACTTCATCGTCATACACCAGCTCCTCCCTCTCTCTCAGACTTGTAGTTTTGTGCATATTGATGATTTACTGCTTCAAGGTTTACATAACATTTAAAAATCTGCATCCCTATTGTTAAGGGTTCTCTCATGGGTGTTATAGTAGAGACTAAAAAGCCATACTTGTAGACAGGGTACATGTGTGTAGGGGAGTGAGCTGGATAAATGTGAAAAAAATCTAGAATTGTGACTTCAGTCTCTGCTGTAATGCACATTAGATAAATTTTAACCTCCAGCTTCATACCTGCACACCTGTGGCTTAGCTCTCAATGTGTCTTTACAGTCAGTATTAGAGTTGTGGCAGATATCTAGTGTGCCACTGGCTTTTAGTATTTAGTGTAAGACTTTTACTTTAAGCCCTTCCTTTTACACTAGAAGATCATGGAGGAGGGTTGGGTTGTTGTTTTTTTTAATCTCTTCCCACCCCCCACCCAGTGTGTATGTTTTCTTTCAGTGAGGAGCATTATTATCATCAGTTTACTTATCCCAACCCATTCTTTGCATTGCAGTTCTTCCTCCGGAAATAAATTAATCATTGTTTTTGTACAGTAACACTTTCCCTTCAG